GATCCTCTCTTGTTGAAACAACCACATATTATGAGTTTTCCACAACCACCATAAAAGGTATGTGGCAAGTTGGATTTTATCTTCATGGATTACTGCCTTACCTGTAGAAAAAATGAAATTGTACAAATCTCTGAAATTTCCCTGTTCAGGATAAGGGCCTTCCCACTTGACTGAACTTAGCTGCCATACCCTTAAAGCTCTGGGACATTGGAAGCAGACATGTTCAATTGTTTCCGCCTATTCCCCACATAACTAGCAAATCCCATCCAAGTCAAGCACTCTCTTCTTCAGGTTCAGTTTAACAGGAAGACTCCCTGCACAACATTTCCAAATGAAATGTTATATCTTCCCCTTAATCTTCAATTTCCACAATCTATTCCTTGCTATATGACCCTGAGAATCTCTGTTGCTTCCCTGAGGGATGTCCATTGCTAGTAACTTCTGCTCAATCAGGTAGGCATATGAAGCTGAGACAGAGAAAACACCTTTTCTATCCAAATTCCATTTCCACTTGTCATCAAGATTGGGATTCAAAGTTCTGATCTTCAAAATATCTTCACTCTCCAGTTCACCAAAAACCTGTTTAATAAGCCATTCATTCCAACAAGAGCCCTCTGCATTCATTAAATTTCTCACCCAAATCAGATGTCCTCTAGCAATTTCCAACATGTCTGGCCTCTGCTTATTAAGAGAAGGGATCCAATTTACATCTTCAATCTTTGTTTGCTTCCCACTTCTTATTTCCACCTGCAGGCCCTTAGCAAAAGTAGCGAAAACCCCTAGCCAACTTCTCCAAAGCCATGAAGTAGTTTGCTTGCTTTCAGCTTCCAAGATTGAAGTTTGGCGGACGTATTTTGCTTTTCAAAACTTTGCTTACCAATAGCTCTGTGTTGGTAGTAATTCTCCAAAATTACTTGCAGATCAATGCTTCATTAAACAGTTGGATATCCTGGAAACCTAACCATATCATTAATATATTATGAAGAAAAAACTAAACATATCATTAAAATTGATGTTAGACAGACCTAATGACTAAAGATTTATACCATTCAAATGGGTATGCATTCACTCCAACGGAATTGTCATACTCTTAAAAACATCGTAAACAAAAGTATGATAACTTATTGCATATGTATACAACGGCGGATCCAGAAATTTTAATGAGCCAGGACAAAAATTATTGAAATTGTTTACCATAATCCACAAAGTATTTATATTAATAATTAAAAAAATAGTTTGAGCGATCGGGAGTGAAGGGATTTCCTATTCAATTTGCTTTTGACTTGATGCTAAAAAATGAATTTGGAAATGATGTATGGTTATTTTATTTTTCCTTTCTATTATTATTAAGAAATATACCAAAAATATCTTACATTTTTTTTTCCTTTTATTTTTTGTAGTAAGTTATTAACAAGTCGTTATGAGATATAATTTATTAATTTCAGAAAGGATTAAATGTCATCATTTTTGTTCATGTTATTTTATAAAGAGCTCCTTATGCATTCACTTCTTATATATAGATATAGAGTTTTTCCACTGTCAACTTCCACCGCTTTGTAATTCTATATGTTAATATCTTAGGATTCGAAATTTTCCATAAATATTGATCTTTATCCAAAACTTTCAAATATAAACACTTGACTATACTTTAAAAGTTAATAACACTCATATATGTTATCATTTTTTATATATGATAATTAGATTAGTCATATTTTGACAATTTATAATTTGACATTCATATTGTATATATAAATTAAAATAATTATGTCTATCTGATTTCTATCAATAAAAAATTAATATTTATAAATTATAATTGAAAAATAATAAATTTATCTATCAAGCTTATTATAGGTCTAAGTACTAAAAATATTGTAATATAATATTGCCATATCTGACAAGTGAGGTTTATCATTTTAGATTAAAATAATAATGTTATTTGGTAAGAATTGTTTAAAATTTTAAAATAAAAAGTTGTATTTGTATATTTATAAATATTACATATAAATTCTTAATTAACACATATTAACTATATGAATTGTATAGTTAGCACAAAATATCCAGCCTAGGCAATTGCCTAGGCTGGACCATATGTAGATCCGCCCCTGTATGTATATATTTTTATTAAAAGAAAAAATAAGACATATCAATTCTAATGCCTATTCTGTCTCATACAAAAATTTATGTGAACAAATATTTCGACTTAACATGCATTTAATCATTGTATTTTTTGATAAATTATCAACTAAATGAAATTATGTCTAACATGCAACTCAAATGAATAAAAGATAGCAAATATTGGATGAAATTTTCATATTTACATCATCAACTCTCATTTTCATATATGTACTCAAGTTCATATATATGTTTAATGTGACAGTGTTTATATAATTATGTTCATCTACGTCGTACATTT